AGTTCGAAGCTGGGTTATTCCCTCTGTGAGCTTTGCGGACAATGACTCATTTCTCTGTCTACTAAATCAAGTGCAATCTTGTGTGACTCTCTCGGGGCGCAGCGTGACCCACATGAGCGGTGCAAGCTGTGAGCTCTTCGGAAAATATTTATTCTGCACACTTCCGGTCGCCCTCAGTGTTTCTAATTAAAAGCCAATTCGTACGCATAAACTTCAGCGACACCATCTGGCCCTCTTAACCTCCCCAAAAACTGTTCCGAAAGCTCTGCCGGGGAGGCGTGCAAAAAGCGCGTCGCACTGATCGCTCGCCGTAGACTTTGCCGTATTATGTAAACATGTCAATGTAAGGCAAACAACCGAATTTGTGTCAAATATTATATAAGTTGAGCGAGTGGGACGCACACCGAACCGACCAGCGGCTAGAGTGGGACGGAGAGTCTTGAGCATCTGTTTGATAGATTGAGCGAGTGGTTAAATGATTTTTTCTTGCTCTTATGCCTCTCCACCTCATTCAGTATCTCTCGCCATACGCGATGTCGGACCAGAGCGACGATGGGAGAGACTATGAACCTCGACGAAAGCATTATTGTCATTATGTAACGACGCTGAAACACGCGGCTTATGGCTCTTTTTTGCCCCCAACTCACCTCTTCTTGCAACAAAGAACGGTTTCAATGTTGTGTGCCACATTCTCTCGATTTTGCACTCAAACGCCGCTCTGTTGCAGCAATTAAATTTGGCGCAATGCAAGTGGTGCAATTTCTGTGCCATCTCTCGGCAGTGGAGAGCGGCCAGTGGGGAGAGGATGGGTGGATATATTGCGAAAAATGGAGAAAATGTACGTGAAAATTCACAGCACAAGGCGCTTCCTCACACCCAGCGTTTCCTCCTCAGGAGTGTTAAGTAACGACGGAACGGCCGAATGTTCAGCGTCGCGCGTCACATTGTGCCCAATATTATACGCGTAGATTACACGGCGATACACCAAGTGTGTCGTGATATCTGTGAATTGGTGGAGAGGATAATTTCTTATTTATCACACAGCATTGATAAATGGTAGTGATATTTCTCTACACATCGCAATTCATACGGTAGAAAAGAAACCGTCTCCACACCCAGAATCAAATTGAAACTATCCATCATCAGCGAGCCACCCAGAATGGTGCCCAAATGTCCCTCTTCTGGGTCATGCCAGAGCCCTGCGAACACCCAACTCTGACCGCAAATTCCCTCCCCATACAAAAGTCCCCCAGCTAAATGCAATGCAAACTCCGCGCGCGTCAATTTATTTTTAAAACTGGCCTCCATGCTGATTCCATTTTAATTTTGTGTTGAATTACATAAGAATCATCGCCGAGTTGAGACTATTCGTCGGTTTTGTCTTTGGCGTTGCGTAATTCAGATGGAATGAATCAATTTTTTATTCTTGGATGGCAGCGCGCGCGAGAGAGAGAATTCTCATTGGCATTCTCCCCTGATTCTTGCATTTTCCAACTTTAAACCTGGCGTGCGACAGAGGCGCGCACGGGGGGCGGCATTTTACGTAATTTCACTGGCTTCATTTGACCGGCGGAATTAATTCCGGATGCGATGGGGAGTTGGAATTCCTGGATCGCGCACGTCCCACCACAATGTGTTCTAAGGGGGCCGCCAAGTGCAAGTGATTGCGTCACACGTGGCTCTTGTGAAAAATTGCTTCATGACATAATCGAATTATCAATTCTCTACACATGCTGTACTCCACGTCTGTTACATTTTGCAGATGATGGCACAATTAATTTATCGCATTAACGTCTATTGAGGGCAAAAGACGCGAAGAACTGGAGAACATCACCATTGAGAGGCGGAACATGAGCACTGGCTGGGTCGATATATTGGACATTTCTTGGTCATTAATCCTTAATCAGATTATTATATCATCAAAAGTCTCTAGAACACTCTCTCGGGCCAAGTGCCCTCCCGGAGGCGATACAGAAAAATTCCACACACTCACCCGAAAAAAAGTCGCGCGCCAATCGCGCCCAGAAAAGCCACAACTTCACGGGAGGCAACCAATAGTTTTCACCCTCAATTTTCCACTCGAAAATCCTCTGTTTACCCCCAAAGAACTCCACAGGATGGAAAACAAGATCACACTTCACTCGGGCAGCGAAAAAAGTGTTTTGTAATCACATCGAAGAACACACTGGCGAGAATTGTTAAACACACTTCATGCGTACATTGTTAGGTAATCGCCTCGACTGTCACACAGGCACACAGCGCCCAAATTGTGTGACATGGAAGTTGTAACGCAGGAGGGAAAATCTCACGTTTTCCGGCCCAGCTCACATGCACGATTGAGCAGATTTTGGCGGGGGGTGAGCCAAATCCACCGAATTACCTCCACATGGGTAGCTTTTAGCATGAAACCGGGCAGAAATGATGGGAAAATCAAGTTCACTCTTCAAGAAATTATGTGACGATTTGAACTTCTTGCGGGGAGCGCCACAAACACTCTCGCGCCCTTTCACTGTGTGCGACAACCACGTTTTGTGGACTCGGCAAGAGAGACAGCAAAATACTGGGCAGTTCCGCACTCGAGAGCGCGAGCGAGACAAGTATCGAGTGTTTACCTGTGGATTGAAAGCTCTGTCGAAAGTGAAAAAGCTCCACTTGACGCGAAGCATCTTCGCTGCGTGGAGAACAATAAAGCAGTTTAGTACAGCATATGCTGCAAGCGTGTCGACAGTGTTGCCTGCATTTCTCTTACCTTAAGAGACTTAACTACACACGAGAAAATAAAATGTGTGGGTCATTGATAGACTTCAAAGGGTTGCTAATATTGCAGATGCAATGTTACTTGACTCGAGATGCGAAATCCGTCTCGAAATTACAGCGATATTGGGGGTGGTTCTAAAAAAAGAAGCAAATATTTTATCTGAAAAACTGTATTAATCAATCTACCAATAATACATTGACTATCGACTATTCAAAATCGATATGAACAATCTCTTGATAGACTCTGTTCTCAATTTCAGCAAGTTGTCCTCTTAATCCCAAAGAAGCAATCCTTCTGGTAACCTTGGAAAGAGGAGGATAAAAGTAAAACCAGTGCTTTAAACTTCTGTAATTTGAACGTTTATTTTTATTTCATCACAAAAATTACACATCTCTTACTGTTTGTGTGTGTTCATCAATTAATTATTCAATTATAATTAATAATCATGGTATTTCATTCAATAACGTATTCAATGTGGTGTTTTTTGTGTGTTTTGCTTGAGTGTAGGGTTATGCAATGTCCTCTCCATTTTTTCTCTCTCTCCTTTTTACGGTGATAAACGCTAAAGCCAACATCTCGTCGATGTTAAGTAGAGTTTTTTTTTTTAGATATCCTTACCGTCTTCAGAACCTCTCATCAAGGGTTTTCTCACTTTATACTTTATACAATGCGGTGTTCTTTTTTTCTGTTAATGCTTGTCTCTTCTTCTTCTTTTTCTTCTCAATAAATGTAACTATTTTAGCACATTCCTCTTGCGTTGCTGTGCCGTGTTGCTCTACGAGAAATGATAAAGAAATCAGTGGTGTGAATCGTCGAGCCGCGTATGCCAATATCTCTTCAATTTCTAACAATATTTGCAGCATCACTACTAAAATTCATTTATCTTTGTGTTTTATAAACCTTTATCTACGAAACTTCTATTATGAATTACAATATCTCTTTTTTTTCTTTAATCAATTACTTTAGCATCTCATCCAAGTGGTGGTTTTTTACTGTGGCTTATCGCTTTTTTTCTCTTATAATAAATTAGAGCGAATGTATATTCTTTAGGGTGGATTTTTCACTTAATTTCTTCTCACTTTTTTTCTTTCTCTTTTTTAGCTACAATTTCTCTTCTACTTCTGCAGAGCTCTTCACTTTCTATCATGGTTTTGACAACAGATAAAGCAGTAACTGGGTAAGTCAGTGATTTCTCCGTCTTAAGAGAGAATTTTTTTTCCTTTATATGTTCGCTAAATATCGTCTGCCTTTAAGTAGTTTTTTTTTACAACTATTGTTGAGCCAACTCGACAAAATGTCTAAAATCTCTCCTAAAAAGCCAAGGTTTTTCGGGCTAAAAGTTAAAATTATGCGCCGGATGGACTTGATCGGAGGCTTCAATGGAGCTATTGTGGATTTAATCTAAACACTACGCACCAATTTTTCTCATTTACGTGACTCCCCTCTCTGACCTCTCTCAGACTAACTCGCGACCCATCAAATCATCCATAAATTATCTGCTGCGCCGCGAGCCAAACATTGCCCAAGAAAAATCCCCTCAAAGGGGTGGTTTTTCTTCACGGTTTTTCTAATTTCTTTTTTGTACAAAATATCATTTTCACCTTAATTTCTCTTCTCAACTGTCTCTCACCTTTTTTTAATGTCTTGTTACTTTACACACAATCAACAAATTGGCCGTTTAGCGACAATGCTTACAAAATCCATTATCAGGCACTTTAAAAGTTCATCCAAAAATTGGTTTTAAAAAGTTATCTCTCTTCTCTTCATCAACTATGTAACTTTTCCACATCCATTCATGTTTTTTTTGTTTAAGCGTTAATCTATGTTCAATGTTAGATTCTCTCTTTCCATTATAATTCTATAATTCCAAAGTATAAGATCTCCTTTTCTGTGGCATCATTTTACACGCCCAGGATAATGCTTTAAAAAGCGAGGTGATACTGTGTCTCATTTTTTCTTTCTTTCTCTGCAATTATTACTCAATTTCTCTCCAATCAAAACCATAAACTCAAAGTGTGTGCTGTCAAATCCTCACGCTAAACCCTCCGATAATTGCACAATATATCATCATCTCTACAATATTTTACTTGATAATTCAGTATTAAATATCTTCGTCTTTGCAAACATTCTTATTCTGTGCTTCTTCACTCTGTTTTAACAACACTAAATTACACGGACATCTCGCTCTCTTTTTTTGAATTTCTCTTATTGTTCTCAGTTTTGTCGGGTTTTTTTTCTCATCTTCTTCTTCTTCTTCTTCTTCATTCACATAAAATTTCATCACTTTTACACCTCTTCAAAATACTTCCTTTCTTTATTAGAAAAAAAAAACATCTTAAAAACCTCACAGTTTTGTGTAATCTTCAAATTGCTTTCAAATTTTTCTTTGTACAAATTTTTTTTTCTTCTTTCTCTTCAATTAATCTATCATTTTCGTTTTTGTTTAGAAAAAAAAACCACATTGTCAACAAATTGATTTTGCAAAAGGACGGACACGCGGGACAATTTCGGAAACCTTCAAAAAGTGATGTTGTTGGTGAAATGGCAAGAAGGAGTGATTTAGAGATTTTTTTTTAGGCGGGAAAAACGTTGGGAAAAATGTTTTTTTTTTTGATCTTTCAGTGGAAGATTACACAAAAGACTGTCGTCTCGCTTATCTTAACAACTCGCATTTTATGCCCATCAACCATCAAGTGGAGTCTGTATAGGAAAGATTTTGCATATTTTTTTCTTTTAGTCATTACTAATATCAAAAGAGTCCTCTTTTTGTGCAACTAAACGCATATCCCAAAAAAAATAAAAACTACAAAATGACAACTATACAAAAGAAAATTAAGCTAGTATTTATGGTAAATACATACATAGAAATGATCTAAAACGAAATGGGTAACGAATTTTTTTCTTTGCTTTCAAAAGAATTACTCTCAATTTACACACATTCTTTTTTGCATTTTAACAATTACAAGGAAAAAAAACAATTTTAAAAATTGTGTAACAATTCCACCATAAAATTGGTAACTTGCGAATATTTTATCGCATTTTTCACAGATTGGTAGCAATATTGATTTTTTTTACTCGTTACAATTCGAGATAGTAAAGAGTGCAGCAGTTTCCACAATTACAGTTGCCACAAATAAAATAAAGCACTAAAAAGTATTTTCAAATTTCATATTTCTCCGAATTCATTTCAATCTTCATATACACAGATAGAATTACCTTGAATTTGTAATCCTTAAGAGTTCAAAGTGTCTTTTTTGAGTGCCTTAAGAATGAACAAATGTCTGTCCGAAGCTGCTGCACTCCTTCACATCATCGATAAAATTAGAATAATTAAAAGAGGATGAGGAAAGGAGATGAGCTTTCGGTTGCATTCTCTGAACATTTTTCATCATTCTCTCACGCTCACTTAACGCTTGTTTTCCTCCATATAGACAAAAAATATATATTACAACAAACAAAAAGAAGTAAAAACAAAGAATTATCGCTACAGCAACTTTTTTTTAGTATTAATCTATTATCTTTAAACGTAATCCACTTGCTATATATATTTTTCTCTATTTTTATCTTGTTTTTTCTTCTCATCATTTTAAATATACAATTACAATTACACTAATCATCCTATTATTGTACAAATATTTTCTCAATTTAACATTATTAATAATTGTTTTATTTCATCAATGCAAATGGGAACTGAATTAGCTTGTAACAAGACTTAAGACTATAACTTTTTTTACTCTCTGCAATTTTTATTTATCTGTTTTTTACCTTATTTTCAATTTTTCTTCTCAACTATTTTCTCTTTTTCTCTCTCTCTCTCTCTTCGCTCTCTGTATGTGTGTGTATTTTCAACCTAAGATTTCTCATTAGCAGCGCAATAAACCTCATCTACAGGTTCTTTATCTCATTTAATAACTACTCAATGAATGTGTTAATAATGCCTAATCAGACTACATTGTATATTTTTTTCTTCTTTTACTATTCTTCCACTATTATTATTACATTGTTTTCATCTTCTTCTTCTTCTATTACTTTTAAACGATGAGCCTGAAAAATGGAAGTGAAATTTCACTTGCATTTCTGTGCGGGGAGGTAAAATGAGGAAAACAGGAGTTTCTTAGCTGCCACATTAGCTGGGACAATCATAAGGTAAACTTTTTAAAATGTGAGAATTAATCTAGAGTTTACATCATTTTTTCGCGATGATTTTTTTTCTTTAAATATATTTATCAAACAGAATCAACAGAGATCTTTGTGGTTTTTTTTCTTTTCTCCTCCACTCACAATTTCAAATTCCATTTTCCAGATGGTTTCTCATCAGCACTGATAATCTTCTCCACCCCTCAATAAATCATGTGCATTTTTACATCCAAATGTAGTAAAATTAACGCTTAACATTTAAATCAACTTCACTGACTGAGTGTTCTTTTTTCTTCGTTTCTCTGTTTTTTTTCCAGTGTGAAACTAATCAAGTGTTTTCTTTCTGTCCCTCAATAATTCCGCTGCCGCAAACATCATAATATATAGTGTCAGCAATGAGATAAAAGGAGCAGCAGAATGATTAGTTTCACCCACTTCGACATTCAAGTTGGTGATTTTTAGGTGGTTATTTTCATCTTAAGATATACTCATCCTAATATAGTATTCGACGTGATTTTTTTCTTCTTCCCTTCTTCCTCTTGTGATATCAATCTCTTAACAGCAAAACCCTCTAAGAATTTTTCGGCAGTGGCTCTTGGTGAATTCTAACCGTTTTTAGGCATTCCCTTTTCATTAATATTGCCAACTTGAATGGCGAAAAGACAATTTTCTCTCATTCTTACTCTCGGTTTTTTCTTTTTTAGCCCCCTTAAAAGTATAATCATGATTAATCAGTGAACATGCTTGTTCTCTATCCAAAGAAATGACAATAAATGACAATTAACTAGGTTCTTCTTCTTGTCGTTGCTCTTAGACGCTGTCCCTCCGCCTTCATCCCCTTCGCGGAGGTCGGCTCTCCACCCGCGAGAGCTCCATTGGTGATGAAACAGATGTGTGTGTATAAGTGTGTTGAGGATTGGGTGTGTTGATGGATTAAAAAGTCTTGGATTAATTACACTTCTTGATATTTTGAGAGGCGAGAACGAAGCTCGAGGTTCTCCTGTCGCAACTGCTCAACTTCCTGCTGTAAACTCATGTTCTGCAACATCAAGAGAAAAAAAAACAACATGAAGTTCTGTTCAAAGCTTCTTCTTCTTCTTCGTCTTCTTCTTCTTCTCCCAGCACATTCTCACCTCCTTCTCCAGGTATCTCGCTCTCATGGCTATCTGATTCTCTTTCTGCCGCCGGGCGTCCCTCGAACGCTTGGCGGCGATGTTGTTCTTTCGCCGACGCGCCCAGTACTTGTCATCTTTCAGCTCTTCTGGAACAAATTGCTTCCTAGATTTTTTGATCATTGGTTGTGGCTTGAGCTCCTCATCTGAAAACGCGCGTGTACGTGGATCAAAATCTCTACCAGATGATGCAAATGAAAAGGCTGCAACATCGAAAACTAAAGTCAACTATTTTTGGGGGACTTGTCCACAGTTTGGTTCATCAAAAATCATAAAAAGAACAGTGTGTTAAAAATTACTTTAAAAAGAAATAGAGAAATATCCTTGTTTTTTTTAACTATTGGTGTTCATCAAAGCAATTTTTCAAAAAGAAAAATAATAGACATTCACGCAGTCATTCATCAGCAACCATTCAAGAAGGATGACTTGGATTCTTGTTAGAAAAAAAAAACAGTTGCATATTTAGAGCGTGACTAAGCTGAGCTGTGTTAATTAAGAATGAGATTTGATTTAGAAATCACGAACTAACAACCAGTCAGAACGAATATGCTCCACAGAATTTGTAAGATTTACTATTTAGGGAAACCTAAGCATTTTCAGTTCTACGAATAGCTCTTCATTATATATGATTTTTTTTTACGTTCTAATGTAATTTGGAATCCAAAAGTACCATAAAGTCACAAGGTGACCGCAAATTCACCGTAAAATCCATAAAAATTCTTACACTTCAGATGTTTACGTGATTAAATGCATTTTTCTTATGACTCTGCATTTTTTTGCATGGAAAAATCCCAAACTATTAAGAAATTATTCTTTCCTGTAAGAATTTTTATCATATTTTTCTGTGATTAATTTTGTAAAGTGTTGTTTTTCAATTTCAATACGGGAAAAAGGTGTTTATTACACTTTTATTGTCCCAGTCAAATGTCACGCTCTTAAATAGATTGCAGTGTCACGTAGGGTGAATTTGGAGGAATTTTCATGGGTTCCGCACAGACACTCAACATTCACTGAATGGGCGAAAAGATGAGACAAGGAGTCAATATAAAGAAACTTGTGAACGAACATCTCAATGGGATGCAGCAATGGACGATTGTCAATGGGAAATGCGACAAGTCAGCACACAGAAGCAGCCTCAAATTGAGCCGCTAATTGGCATATGGGGGAATGGTCAGTCAGTCAGTCTCTCTCCAAGAGTTGCCTCTCATCCTCACCAACCATACTTACTTGATTCCGCCGGCGACGGCGGGTTCATGGTGTCCGGACTGACACAGTCTGAGGGTGAGGGCGAGCGCTCGCGCTTCGTGGTCACCTGGCCAAGGCCCAGCGAGAGCCCTGTGCTGTGCCCCAGCGAGTCGGATCTGTGGCCAAGACCATTGCTGTGCCCCAAATGCCCACCCGGCAGGCCGTCCACTGGAATATTGTTCTCCGACAGGAATTCATCCAAGTCCACGTACTGCATAAGAGGGATTAAGAGAGAGAAAGACAATGAGAAAACCAGAGATCTCCTTCATCTCTCTGCAGATTCACGCTTCACGTGGGACAGTAATCTTGTCCTTCCCATGGCGTGTCCTTTGAATGTCCACACGCGAATGCCTCAATACACAATAAACCGAAGCATTTTGAGTATCTATGCCTGTTAATGGTGGTATGCGCTATTTTTAGACCATTTCTCTCAATGTATTTCACTTTAAATCAATTAATTCTCTTTCTGACCAACATTGTGTCATAAATTTCCTGAAACTTGACAATGTTTTTCACAAGTTTCTGCTGGGCAGATGATTAATAAAAAAGTTTATAGGACAAGAGTTTCTCACTCTACAAACTAATTTTTAAATGAAAATTCACTTCATGACAGTAGAACAAATTCTCCTTGTTGGAAAGAAATAATAGTAATTAAATTAAAAACTTCCAATAGAAAAGTGAACTAAATCAGATGAGAGTGGCGAAGCTACTTCAGTCATAGTGCAATTACAACTTTGACGCTGTGCAAAACTTTATGCGAGAAAGTGAATTGAATCTCAATTCGCGCGTTCATTCTGCGTGTGTTTTTCACGATAAAATTCGTGAGTGGCATCTGTGGCACGCACCTCTTCTAATTTATAAGTTGCGTCTGCCCAGATGACGTCATTGCGCGCGGAAAAAATACTATACTAGTGAAGAAGAAGAGTCACGAGCTTCTGGCGCGCGGATTCTCATGTGATAATGGCCCAAGAAGACATAAATTTCACGTGAAATCACAGACAAGCCAGCAAATTTTAGATCCCGCTGCTGAGATGCAAAAAAAGTCACTGAAGCGTGACAGGCGCGTCTCTGTGAACGACGAGGCAGGAGAGAAATGATGTTCATTCAGGGAGAGGAGAGAAAATGTGTTCTCTTGTCATGGTGGGCCTTTTTAATGGGTCTCAGGCGGGCTTTTCACGCGCGAAAAATGTTGGCAGCCCATTTTTCCCACCCACACACTCCGCCAACTGTTCGTGGGAAGTGGGAAAAATCTGGAGGAAACTTGCTTTCCTTAGCTCAAAAATTCCCGTATAAACAATATACAATACTGAACAAATACATTACTAATGATCAATTTTGATCAAAATGCCAGACAATTGCAGGCCAGATGCACGCGCTTCTGAGACGTGCGATATCAACTTTTTACTTACTTACTCCGGCACACAAAACCACACAAATAGTTTGATCTATTTCGAGACATGATGCACATTGCTTAGGCAGTTTATGGATAAGTCAATTTAGGAAGCTTACGAACTTCCTGAGTGAAATTCAGAGGACACACCACGTGCTTAAGGACGTATTTTGGCGTAATTTCCTAAAAATTCCTTTTGTGCTGTGTGTCTCCTTTTTTGTATTATTTCATTTACGCAGGAGGAGAAACTAAAGAGATCCACAAAAGAGAACTGGAAAGTTACTAACTTGGTGTACCTTGAGGTCGGCATCATAGGGGAGGGTTTTGTCCCACAAATTCGGCCCCAGGAATGCTGCTTGAGCCTCAACATTCCACGGATCGCCGTCCTCTTTGTGTTTGTCATCGCCGCAGATGTCTTTGCTGTTGCCCGATTTGCCTGCAAAGATAGGTGAAAAAGAAGAGAGCACATGAATGGATTTGTGTATTTTGGCTTACGGAATGGGACGATATATATGGGGGGGCCAGTCGTAGCCACACCTTGCCATCGTCATCTATCGACGCTCTATCATCAACGCCAAAATGACGACAATCACACCTGAACACACAGTCGAGGAGGGTCTCACGAGATGAGAGTGAATTCAGAGGAAACATCAGCACTGTTTGGCCAACAGATGAGAGAGTAGAGTTGCAGAATGGTTAGATTGAGATTTCAATCAATTTTTAATCAATCCCCTTCAAATATGCACTGAACTTTTCACTACAATGACTAATAATACTACAAATAGTGCTTCTCGTGAATAATTTCCCAAATTCTACAAGGAAATTGTATGGCAATTTGCTGTGGAACAGATTTATTCTGTTCAATTTTGGTGCTTCGTGATTTATCTTCGCATTAATTCATCACATCAACTCTGTGGCTGAAGTCAGTGATGGTGAAACAACACTAAACGTGGTAAATCAAATAAGAAACACCCATACAGAGACACATCGTCTGTGAGAAAAGTTCAGAAATTGAAAGTGAAATTTCTCCGGCTTTTATTTGCTTCCTGCTTCGCGTCAGGTTCTGCTTGTTGATTTCAGAGACTCTCCGTCTCTCTCAGCGCCATTTGAAGAGAAGTGCATGTGTTGAGACGATTGATTCCTTTGCATCATCGCAAATTGATATTGGAAATTATGCAATATTTTGCCACACTTTTCTCCCCGCGCGCGCGTGTCAGTCAAAAAGAAAAGCTCTCTCGATGATTTTTCCCCCTTCGTTTTTCGGAGGCCTTTTTTCTCTCATTTATTTATTTACTTCGTGTGGTGAAACATTTGGGTGTATTTCCTTATTTAGCCACAGAAAATGTCACTGTGAAATTGGCAAAAGACAAGTCAATTCACTTTTTGCCGCATGATATGAATGACTATGTGTTGTGTGTGTGTTTTTTTTTCACTTTACTTTCGCCGCTCGCGCGAATGCAATTATTTAATATTTACACTCTTAGAGTCGGCGCACATGCATTGGTCTATTAGCTAACCTGAAGCCCTACATTCAATGCACTGATTTCTTGTGTGAGAAAGAGATTTTCTCTCATCGACTTACATTTTCCGCTTTACAATTTTTTCCCTTCCTCCAACACCAGAACACCACCATCACTTCCTTGTGGTGAACAATAATGCGCTGCTCTTCTCATACAGCATATATACAGAACTCAACTTCAGTGTATATGCTTAGGCCATCAGAGGAAAATTCATCAAGACAAACCATAATTAAACATTCCCATTTTACGATATGCCGTAAAATATTCCCCGCACATTTCCACTACTTTGTCCATTCACAACACTTTCCAGGCAGTCTTGCAAGCATTGCGCAAATAGAACAAAAGTCATCGCCAGTGCGCGAAGAAAGATTTGAGAGCCATTTAACTGGATGTTTGAAGCATATTTGTGTGAGTTCTAGGTCAAGGCAGGCAAGAAAGGTGAAGTCAATTTCCGATCGCGAAGAAGAGACTTTTGCAGCATCTTCTCGCGATGAACTTCTTTCCGCATTTTTCACTTCACACACATTTGGTCAATTTCTCATTTATAATATGCTGACAGAGTCTGGGAAATGCTCATATTGTGCAGCTCATGAGATAATTATCGTGAAAATATGCACTCATCGGTCTGTCGAAAATTTATTTTTGGTCATATGTCATGTATTTTCCTTAACACCTCAACAGAAGATGTACACAGAGAGAAAGAGAATTAGGCACACAATGTCTCAGCTCTTGTGCTAGAACTCATCTAAACAGCATCTGACTTGAGCTACAATCGCTGAAGCTCTTTTTTTCTACCTAACTTCTGAAAAGTGGGTGAAAAAGCTCTTGTCGCGGAAGTAATGAATTTTCCACAAATATCGCATTTTTCCCTGCACAAAACACATCCACATCATAAGTGAGAGAGAAAGAGAGATGTTTAAAGTTCTTGGAGTGGAACAAATGGTTGTCATTAAGGCAGCAGCAGATTTATAAATAAATAAAATTCCCATCACCGCACAGGGAGAGAGAGATGTTAAGATACAACCTGCAAACACAATGCGTCTCTCATGACAAAACTTTAGAGCTTATATCCGCCAATTAAATGCATAATAATAGAAAGAATCTTTCTCGATCGCTGTTAGCATTTTTTCTGCACTCCCGATTTTAGTTCAAGGGTGTGCTATTTGAGATCTCCATGTTCTCCGGCCTATGGATTTCCGCGAATGTGTGTTTGTGTGTGTGTGTGTCAATCCCAAAAGACACAATTGGCCGCTTTTGGTGTGACGCGAAACGGATGGGTGCGGAGCTTTTGTCACAGCTGGAATAAAGCTCCCTCGTCTGCAAAACTTCTAGCAGCAACTTACTAATTGCTGCACTCACTTTTCTCACACTCAATTGATGCAAATTCAGCACTCAATTGCCATTCAATTGACACTTTTAGCATCCACTCAAATTGCTCCAGTTTCAAAGGACATCTTCTTCCCTGTCAAACTTCCAAAGTTTCCTCATGCGCCATTTTGAGCACATACTTAAAAAAAAATTCCCTACAACAGTAGAGATGTTCTTTGGCGTCTTTGTATTGATACAATCAATCATTTATTACTCTATTTAGACAGATTGTTGGTCGATGCATCTCTAAATGATGCACAACGAAGCGAAGAATTTCGCACTTTGCCAATTTGGTGAGATGCTCAGCTCTCGATGCTGCGCCAAAATGCAAATTGAACTTGTGTTCAAGTGCCTTTTTACTGCTCTTCTCCTCATTCTAGAAACTCACATGCCTGTCTGAGATTCCAACATATGACGAGTGTCACGCGGTATCGAAAGTTTGTGTTTAAGAATAGAATCATCCACATATATTGTTTCCCATTCAATCAACACTGATACACAATGTTGCATCAACCAAATCATCAATGTGATTCACTTGTCAGGACCTCTTGTACTCTAATTGAATTGCTAAGAGTGAATTTTCTCAACACACACACACACACACACAGATTATCGTCTTTTTCGCGCTCTTTGGCGGACTAAAAAAGCATTTTCGTGACACTTTACAAATGATCTGCCGCCATCGCGTGAGAGTCCATGAAAATTAATATCAAAAACGCGGCAAATGGTGAGCGATGTGAAAATTTTCGCCACTGACACTTTCATGGGCTTCCTTCGGGAGAGTCTCAATGGAAAATGATGACAGGAATTGCCGATAATTGTTGGTGAGATGTATATTTCCGTGATTTATGCTCATGGTCGTTAAGATCGTGTTTAGGAGGCTCACATATATTTCACGAAGATTTACCCACTCAAAATAAAATTCATACAGGCCTGTTCCTCGGCCCATTGAAAAAGTCTCAAATTTTCGCATATTGAGTGAGTTATTGATTGTGAAAAATTTTCAAATTGTAAATTCAGAGACTGTCAATTTCGTATTTTGCAATTTGCATGACATGGAGAGCAAAAATAAAAAAGACGGTATAAAAGAAGGAAAGACAAATAAATAGAATGAAAAACGTGTGTGTTTGTTCAATATTTTTTGGGGTTTTGATATCGCGAACACAAAACACATCCCAGCAAATTTCCTCCTCACTCAGTTGGAGATGCCAAGAAAGGTTTGTCATGATGAACTTTTCACTAAATTATCGACAGTTTTCACAGTCATCTTAGCAATTCGCTTAAGGTTGAATTCCACAAATGACGCCTCTGTAGCCCAGCATCATTGGTGGATTTATTTTAAGTGATTTGTCGTCTTGAGAACTTCCTCTCTTCGTGCAAATATCTTCAACATTTGACAGTGAGTGCAGAGAATTCATCATGAGAGACATTTATTTGCTTGAGACTCTCATTGCCCACAAAACTCATTGTTTGACCAAAGAGACTTAACACACATCTCTCCAAGTCGCACTTCAACACCTTCGTGTGTTTCGCCTCCTTAACATTATGCCTTATCTGTCCTTCTAACATCTCTCAAGTCACACACACACACAGTGTTTCGGTGAAAAACTTTTCAATTTCCCACTTATGAAAAGTTGAGCGACAGGAGAAGAAAAGTCTCAAAAATTCACCTTCGCCTTGCATGAGACTCTCCTTTGACTCTGACATTTCCACTCCGCCTCTTTTTACCCAACAAATTCCTCTCTTTATTTATAAAATTTCCCTCTCATTTTCCACCCAACTCGACAGACGAGAGACACGCTGTCCAAGAAAAATAAGACTGTCGGAAAACACACTGAAATAGAAGCCACTGGCTGGATGGAAAATCGCCCACAATATCACACACAAAATCACACTAAATATTGACTCTCTGGCTAAGAAAACTTTGTACTGTTCATTTGTCCATAAACGCAATAACAATCAATAAACGCACCCCAGAATCTCACTTTCACCGCCCAAAAATCTCAACATATGAGGAGAAAGAGAATGGAGTTTTTCGGGCTCAACTCGTCGAAAGGAGATTTCAATCAACTGGCAATTAGTTGGATATTAACTCGCGTGGTAAAAATACATTATATCCCAGTTTGAGCTTCTGTGAGCTTTTTTGCCTTTCTGGCCTTTTGGGAGGAGGAAGCTCGTGTGCGCCGAAAGAAAAAAAACCCACCGCAGACTCTGTCTAATGCTAATCTCATTCATCAAGTCTGACGCATTGAACTTCAACGACAGCGAAAGTTAATTTTTATATACATCCATTCGTTCAGACTGAGATGGAGTGAAAAATAGAGTGGATATGAGATGGATATGAAGAATTTTAGGGCTTCGCATCTCACAAGAATGTTTTTTTTCTTCCACATCATCTTTTCCGTCACACACTTTCGCATGATCAGCGCCGCGCACGTCTTTGGGAAAATGCAAAATTTCCCATTGTTTCCCCATGTGAGTTGGAAAGCTCTCTCTCACTCTCTCATGCTTCAGATAGTGTTTGAGAAATATTTCAAAACATTACGCAATGCAGTGCGACTTGATCTGGAAGTTGGCTCCAACACACGATGTTTATCCGGAAGAGATTGACCGTTTTTGTGCATATAAACACTTTATTTTCCCTCAAGTATTCGTGAGAGGTGTTGGCTGAATCTTTTTGTCGATCCTAATCAACTTAATGGGCTTTTGCTGTTTCCCATCAATGGATAAATCTTCAAATTTGACACTCCAAAAAGTCGATATCTCCTGAGGGACGGCGCTAAAGTGAAATTGACAGGGAAAAATGTGCCTAAATGCCACAGTCTAATTGTGTCTTATTGTTTTTCTCATTGCACGGCGATTGTCTTCAACTTGATGTACCCTCATGAGTCAAACCCGTCAGGAGAAGAAGAAGAAGTAGAAAAAAAACCACGCGAGCTTCAATGGTGAAGAAAGTGAAATTTGTCGAATTTTGTGGCGCAGAAGATCGCCGTGATGATGAAAGAAGTGCGGACAGTAAAAAATCTCCACATGAAAATCATCTGGTTGCTTTGGTGAGACAAAGAAAAAAGAGTGCGATTTAGGAAGATGGTAAAAGATCTCTTCGTGAGTGACACTGGGGAAAGAGAAAAGAGGAAGGCTTTTGGGCACCGCAAATTTTGTGTATTGCGCTAATTGCCGAACAGACTTTGGCTCTGTGAGGTACTTGCTTCTCTTGACTTTGATGAAGAGGATGATTTTTGACGGAAATCTTGTGCATGTGTGCGTGTGTATAAGGCAAAAAAAACACGACAAAGATACTTTCTCTCCCCAGAATACATGAGTTCACACTCGTTGGGCTAAAATAAAGTCTCTCACTCCTCAAGGAAAGTCCCAAAAGTCAGCATCTCATCTTTCAATTTCATAATCGATCTGACATGTCTGATAAATTACACACATTTTCAATACATGACCTTTCACTCTTCTTGCCTTTCTTCTTCCTTCCCCGTGCCCTTTTCGCGGATGAGAGACACTCCCGTCGCGAAGTCCCCTTTCGAAAATCATCATCCAAAAACTGCCACCATTTTAGGGCATTGAGATGAAAGTGAAATGATACATTTATCGTGGGCTTTCGCAGTGGAAAAACAAAAGTACAATTTTTGGATATATGCGGTTTCGGGTTGGTCACAACACAGCCAAAGTATAATTGCACAATTCCCAACTCGATATGGCCTTTCTTTCCCATCTTTTTCCTTTCGAAATTTCCTCTCACTTTTCATCATCACGTCCTTTGCGACACATTTTGTGAAACCTTTTTTTTTCTTCTTCCACACACAATATATATTGATCACCGCGCAGTGGCAAATTTTCCTCGGAAAACCATCTCCTCTACTTTATCATTGACAAATGACAAGATTATTCATGGATTCAACCAAAAGTGTCCATTAAATTTCTCTCTGTGTGATAAATTCTGTCACTCGTAAAATATTTATAATTCTTCCAACCACTCTCAAGCATTCCGATTGGGCTATAAATTGGCACTTTATGGTGATTTTACAGTGTGCATTTTTAATTATCTGAATCTTTTAATGCCTCTGCTGCAAATCACTCTCAGTTCAAATTATCCAAATGCCGCATTTGCAGAGCTCAACAGCAAACACTTCCTTTGAGAGCTGTGAGGGCTTGTTTGCAATCTGTGATGAGAGTGAAAGTATTTAAGGGAAGCACTCTAAAACACAGCAATCACAATTGTAGCAATTGACCACCCTGAGCATGGCTTTTCGGGCTTTTCCCAACCAGTGACCTCAGCTCAGACCAAACACGACTTTTTAATCGTCTTTTCTGCCCAATTTCATCACACTCAAGTGGCTGGAAAGTGAAAACAAAGCTGCCAAAAATTGTCTGTGTGCCGCAGTGTATTTTTTTTGCCCATAAGAAAGCACTTTCCCCTTTTTCACGCAGACTCTTTCATATATATGACTCTGTGCCGATTGAGATCTCCAACGGACTCTTTTCACGCGGCTGAGAATTGATAGAGAGAAAGAGAAGCCTTTCGAGCTCTGTTGCTCTGGGTGACTGTGCGAGATGTCAAGAGGTCAATTGCTTGTTTGCATTTTCTTAAACAAAAATCTTACGAAATTTCTGCTCAGCATTTCCCTCCCCAAAAAAGCGCCCATCTTATTTATCAGTTGTGATTTTTTCATCACTCTCGCTCTCGTGATTAATCTTTCCGCGTGTGTCGCACACACTTTTCGGTGTATATCGAAGAAAGTGAGAGTTTTGCGGCTTTTGCCCACCTCCAGTGAAAGACAGAGAGACAAAATTGCCCAATGATATTATTGTAAGTGGAATGGAACGGACTGATATCCAGTGGTGCCTCTTAGAGCATTATGCAATAGGCCAAGCACAGGAGCATCGCAAGAAAATGCACGTCTTAGCGCTTTTCCACTAGAGAAAATTGCAAGCACTTTCATGTATGGAAAAGCTGTACATCGGCAGAGTAGTTTCATGTGATAGGCGCACAAATTGCGTAATGGAGAAAAAAGAGAAAGATTGCGCCGCACTTTTTATTCACACTTTTCTATATTTTGAGGGAGGAAGAAATGCATGGAGTGAAAGAAAAAAATTTACACATTGGAATTCCAAATAGCATACCTTCACTCCTTTAACCTACATTGTAAAATGTATATACATATGTGGCGAAGCAAAGAGTGAATGTGGGAGAAAGATGGCTCACAAAGCAATAATATATTGCATGTCTCACGTGGTGAATACACAGACTGTCTTCACCCCCTCTCGCGCGCATTCTCTTAACCATATCTTTGGCGCATTATGTGGAAACTTGGAAATCCAAATCCACTTCCTGGAGTTATGAGAATCGCGTGAATAATGCAAGAAGTCTCTCAGTGGTCTGTTGCCCAAGTCACTGAGCTATGAAAGTGTGTTGAGCTGTTAGGATTGATAAAACAACACACCAACTCAGTCACAACAAACATCTCACCTCTCTCTGGGTCTATCAATTCCACCCAAAAGCCTCCGTGAGCTTGCATTTCTTCGCCACATGAACCCCTTTTTCATATCAAAAAGTAATCATTGGAAGCTTATCTCGCTCTCTTTCTCTCTCTCTCTCTCTGTCAACAGTTCTACCAAAATGATAAACTTTTCTTCTCAATGTGGACACAATTATATTTTCCTCACGGGACGAAAGAAAAAATAAAAGCAGATGCAGTTGAAACATCGGGAAGAAAACAATGCGCACTGTGAGATGAGAAAAATCATCGTTGCAACAAAAATCATCTGCGTGAGAATTTTCATGTGTCTGAAGCGACTGAAAATGAAAATGAAATAGCGGAAGACATTATCCAAGCCTCGAATCAACTAAGTCAGTAAGTTAAGTAAAGAAGGCAGACAAACCCGTTCAGTAAGTCTCTCTCCTCGCTCAATTGACTGAGTTTGAGCTGGAGAAAGTTTTTCGCTCATTTCACACAAGCCAAACACACACAAATACTCGTCGCACACATTCACTTAGCATTACTGTCTGCAGATCATAAATATAATTGCTATATTATAGCTTGCAAGATGCTCGTCATGAACCTTCGAAGTGGTTTTTCGCTTAAGACATCGGACAAATGGGCTAATCAGACATGTGAAGAGTTGACCAATTGATTTTGTGGCATTACTTCAGCAATTCCCTGAATCTTTCGAAAAAGCCCTCAAAAATACACCTTTTCTGCCCCTTCGAAATCCCCCCAAGAATTCGCAATGATGGATGTCAAGGTAAGTAACAATGCAAAAATTGATCACTTTCATTTGTCGCGCGACTCTCACTCATTCGCTCACTCATGCCGACCAAGAGAAAGAAAGACCCCACCGAAAATTTTTCGTTGGCCCGCGCGATCTTTGTTGAAGCGCGCTGTTTTTTTGTCGGGTGACCAGAAAAAGTGAAAGCCAGACGCGAGAAATTCACGAAAAAAATATATACGCACTTTTTTCGGGCTGGAGAAGGAGGAATTCATAATGAATCAAGAGAGTTTTGACGCATCTCAAGCGGAAATGCGGAGATTTTTCCACCAACTTCCGTGCAATCTCGCAAGTGTGGAAAAGTGCGAGAGAAAGAGAGAGAGAGAAAGAGCGGGAGAAGGAGAGAGATGAAGAGATATAATTTGGCAATTTTTAGATGGATCATTTGTGTGTCTGTTGTTAAAATTTTCGATACTCATTTGAGGAAGTTTGCAGATGATGGTTTAATTATCCCAGAGATTAAGCAGAAAGGTTAAAGGTTGCAAAAATCATGGCCAAAAGTGTGTACTTTTTTCAGACCATTCCCCACTTGTGGCCACAAAGATTACCATTGAGATAGGCATGATGTCGCCACAGTTGCTGAACCTGAAACTGCGTCCATCGATTGCCCTCCTCGCCATTCGTCCCATTGGTTCCGTTCTGTCCATTTCCGTTGGTGCCATTCATGGGCCCATTGCTGCCAGGAGCGCCATTGGGCGCCCCATTGGTCCCATTCTGATGATGCACCTGCAGGATCTGCGACGGGGGTGGCAAGTTCTGGGAGTTGTGCTGTTGCGGAGCACCGCCGTTCTGGCCGCCGCTCGGGGGATTCATGTGGGGCAGATGAATGACCTGAAGTGGCATGTTGGGCAGCGAGTTGGGTGGCTGCATCGACGGCAGGATCTGCGGGGAGTTCTGCATGATCTGAATGTGGGGACTGGGGGACGGAGTGGGTGGGCCAATGGGCATCTGCTGCGGCAACTGATAATCCATTTTCGTGGCAGTTCGGCTGAGATTCGAGACTTGTGATCACCACTGGCACACCAAATCACGACACTTTCACTTTTCTTCCGCTGGAGAATTCGCAGACTGAACTGATTTGGGGTTGTTTGGGGGGTCAGGAAGTGGATCTGGGAGTCTCTCTCTTCACAGTAGGTCTCTTCACATGAATGGCGACTCTTGTGTCGCCCATCTACACGCACCCCAACTGGTCACACGGGGGTGGGCGATGGAGGAAAGACAGAGAAAAAAAATCAATGTTTGGGGGTGGGAAGCCCTTCAGTGTCACCCAAGTCCTTCACTGTCACAAAATCCTCCACACACGCCGCACAGGCATGGATTCCTGGACAATTTTCGATATGATTGTGTCCACTGAGACAGAGATATCTGTCGCCAATATCATCACTCCCAAGAGTTCGACCTTCTACGTGCTACTCCATGCGTTGCAAATTGATACTCAATGCTGGGATTGTTATTCTTTGATCTATAGAACATCACCACTGTTCTCACTCTCCCAGCATCCGTCAGATCACTCGCGAGATTTATCGTCTCTGTGGTCGTGAGATCGAGATCACTGTACAACTTGCCAACCAATCCAGGTAAGAACATGCACACAGCACTTTGCCTCGCCTGCACAGGATCTGCTCACTCTCTTCCCAGGCGACCGACACAGTTTCTCCCGGGATGTCACAGCGATAAGAAATTTGACACACAAGTCTTCTTCCCTTTCGATAAAGAACCACACTCGCAACTCACGAAAAGGTGTACAAATAATCACATCTAACCTGTTCGCGAATTACAACGAAAATGAACGATAGAGCGTCTCTCTGTGTTCCGTGTTCGCCGATATCTTCACACATTGCTACCTTCCGCTGGCGCTCCGCTGTGCCCCCACCATGCCAAGCCCCACCGACTGTCCGAAAGGTAAATAAGTCTCAGGTGAGACTGCACAACTACACACTTCCACGTGAGCCTGTGTGGAGACGTGCTGAGAAAAACGCCGGCTATTCCCTCGCATTTCTCTCATTCAGTCTCACTGGGTGACTTTTTTGGCCAGGACAGCAGTGGGACAAGGGGTCACAGCCAAGGGGCCGCAAGTCTCAATGTGATCTTCGATCTTCCCAAACTCTTCCACGCACGCAAACAATATTAATTCTTTGAAGATCTTCGGTAAGTCGCTAAAAACTTCCTTGTCTGTGAGAAAGATCAGATGATAGAATGCCAATTTGTCCCGTATTTCAATTATATTTTGATCATTTAGAAGTCAGTGTAATTATTGTAATTATTGCGTGTTAATAAACACTCTGAAAGTGGTGTTTAAAATGGCATTTATGGAAGATTTAAGTCAGTGTAACAAGTTGTCCCCTCGGTGACAATTCCCCTCCCCCCCCCCCCCCCCCAAGGCTCCGAGGAAAGAAGTCTTGCGAGGCTTTCTCGTGAGCACTCAACATCTTTCCTTCAGCTCTTTTCTCACTGTTCGAGCTTCAATTCAGCCCATAAATTCCAGCACACTACACAATTCTCTTCCTTCCCCCATCGGGCGATGGATCGGTGCGCTTTTTGCCATCTCCTCGCATATGTATGTACGATACACACCTCGGCAATGATGGTAAGCAGAAATTTTGAAATGAAATCGAAAGTGAACTCTCACTCTCTTCACCATCAACAGCACCAACACCATGGCGCATCGCGGTAAGAGTTGGAAAGAAATTAATGCAGACAATTTCAATATGAGTGTGGCTTTGCTCCATTAGTTTCCATTGGCGAACGCGAGGTGCATAGCGATGGGAGCGCTTAGAGGCACTGGAAGAAATGCAGTGCACACCAAAGAAATGAGGAAGGAGAGAAGTAGGACACTAGTTCAGTACGATTTGAAACCACCTTGCCTCCCACCCTCAAGCCTGGGCTATCATTTTTCTCTCCACCGCAGAGAGAGATTGTCTTTCTCGCGCCGATTCCACGTACATACATATCGTCAAAGCTTGCGCAACACTGCCATTTTAATTGCATGAATATTTTTATGCATCTCCCGCGCTAAGTGCTACCTTTTTCCCCGTGTGTGTGTTTGTGTGTGAAGGAGATGCACCTCCCAATTTATGGGGTAATTAATGAGTATAATCCCATGAAAAGTCGCACAATTCTTCACGAGGGGATTATATCATGCACTGAAGAAGATGCGGACAATTAGGGGTTAGAAAAGCACACATTCTTTAGCTTATAATGTAAGTCCTGACCGAAGCCATTCATGGAATTGCGTCGAATTAAAAAAAAAATCCTAATTCAATTTATCGCGACAAAGACATGTGAGAAGACTCCAACAATGGTCAATTCTTCACACACGTAAAACCTCTATCGACTTCCTTAACCGCCAGTGTCTGAAGACAAGTCATTCAACGTCTTTCCAAAAAGAGCTCTTTTTCTTCTTCTCACCTTTTCTCTCTCTCTCTTGCACATTTTGACCACTTCATTGGGCGACTTCACGACAATTTTTATTTAATTTATTCACTGTTTTTGGCTGGTTTTTTCGTGGCTTCACCGCGCCAGCCTAATGAATTATCGATAAAAATTTCACTTTTGCTTGAAAAATACGAGAAAAAGAGTGTGTGTTCAAATGAAAACGAAAGTTTTAGCCATGAAGAGATTAACACAGGCATTGGCCACAGCTTTTTATCAATTTGCCTGCACAATGATCGCCGCAACTGTTGAAGAAAAGCTCCAAGAAATTTGCAAAAATATTAAATTCTTTCACGTGTTAGATAATCCTGATGGAAATATATCTTCACCATCATTAAGTATGACTCTTCTAGATATTGAGAGAGGTTTTCCACGTTGAAGAAATGCCTTTTTCCAAATCATCTAAAAGTGCAAATTCATGTTTTCCATTCTACAATATAAGATTCTCCGGAACGCATGCAAAACCGATATGATGCAGAGAAAAATATTGTAAATCATTTCCCGCAGAAATATGCTTTTCACACTTAAGTTGAAAGTGAGAAAAATAGAAATTGTAATAATGCTTCACTCCCAAAGTGATACACATTTTTCCCAATCTAATCTTCCTAAGTGGCTTCTCGCCAGAGATTCATATCGCCTTCAAGCAAAAGTTTAGCAATACAGGAATATCTATTTATTCAACTCAATCTCACCAAATTGCCACCTCATTTTTTTACCTCCTCAAGCAGGGCCTAAACTCTGATGGTCAGATTGCTGAAAACGTGACCATTCTTCAGAAGTTTGGAAAGATATTGCAAAGCTGCGAAACTTTAAAGTGTTATTCACTGGCTTTTTGCCGCACTTTCAGCGGAAAAAAAATCATGAACACAAACCTGAGATCGGAAGGTAACGCTTTGCTGGTTGGTGGCTAAGATCTGGGCCGTTGGGTGCCGCTTGTGCGGCCACGAACCCATACTGATCATAAGCCCTGGCCGGGAAGCTTTGGCCACTCTGTGCAAAGTTCCACGGCATCTTGTGCTGCCCTGAGAATTGATTCTGATGCTGCTGAGGCATGCAATTGACCACAGAATCAGTGGGTGGCATGATTGACCAGCTTTGATTGGGATTTGGCTGGCTATAGTAGCCAGCGGAGTGATAAAAGTTTGATTTCATGGTGTCTTGTGCAAAGTTTTGTCACTTTTTAGCGATTCACTGGGAGTCTCTGACTGTGGCGAATTCCCAAAACTGCTACATTCATCAACTTCTCCCACAAACACTGTCTCATCTTCCTGTGTTCCCAATTTTTCAACCCCCAAAAGAGCCAAAACTTTCTGCACAGAATGACACACGAGGAAAACTTTACACTTTTGACCCTCTAGAGCTTTTTCACACAGACACACACAAGCACACTGCAAAAGTTTGATGCTTTTGAAGCTTTTTGATTTATGAAAAACTTCCCTTGAAATACAAGAAAGCTACCCCAAAAAATCGCACACACACACTTGAAGGACTCAACTAGCTGCCTTGGCGTTCCGACTGAAACTGCCTGGGTTGTTTGTTGTTGCCGGCAGACGCACTGAGTGCGGAGACGTGTCCAGAACACGGGGTGGAGCCTCCTCACGTGGACTGAGGCACGACAGCCCAGGTAGAAATGGATTCACGTGGCGACGTCCGTGGCGTGCCCCCCTCGCGACGCGCGTCCCATTGGAATTCCTAATCATTTCCATATCTTTTATGCATCCGTCAATTCAGTTCATTGTGCCAGTGCGCTTTCTGCAGCCGGTCGGGGAACGCAAATGTGGGGAGAAAATTGCCTGCATCCCATCTGTATAATGATGAGTCTAGCAAATACACTTACAGATTTAGTCCACAGAGGCTGACAAGTGTCAGAACTTTCAAATAGACAATTATGGACCGCAAAAACAGATCGTCATTTCAATCCTGTGCCTATGTTTCTCATTGCATTTCCATCAAATTTCCATCGTATAATTCGAAAAACTTATTAGTATTCTGTAGTTTCACGCCCTCTTCCGCCGTCACGTTGCTCATCCACGTGAGCCAGATCCCACCTCCCGAGTGTAAAGCTCTCTCCAGTTGAATGAAAGGGAGACTGGCGAGTCTTTCAACGCCCACACCGAAAGCTCTTCTGCGGAATCGCCTCAAAACAAGCACAATACACAGAAAAAAGACACCCAACATCGAATGGCGACCCCCTGCAACTCCAAAGTGAGCACAGATAGTCGGTATCAGCGATGGGGACGCCGAGTTATCAAGCGGCGCGCCTCCGGTTTATGTCTCCACTGTTGCCATGGCGACTCACAATTGGAACCCAAATTGGCGCCCGGCCACGTGACATACGCTTCCCAAATGGGTCGCCGCGTGATTGCCACCCCATCGTGGTGCTCCAGGAGGGCTGTGAGGCCACCAGGCGCCTCCATGAGGAGTTGCAAACTTGTTGAAAACTTTCTCAAGCTCTGCGGCAATTGTTGGCCAACCTCAACAGTGAAATGATTGAAAATTGCAGTCAAGAGAACATCAACTTTTGGCGATGATGCGAAATTTGATGGGATTTCAGCAAATTGAACAGTATAATGAGTCATTATGTGATTGAAGTTTTCAGAAGTTATTCCTATACCAACCAGGCGTCTCCACTGACTAATAGAATTAATTCAACTTTACGCCATGGGCGTAGTTACAACTCTCCAGCTGTTTTTACTGATCATGTATTCCGTTATGATTGCATGACATCGCAATCATTTTTATCGCTTCTCTGGCAGTTGAAAGGAATCTTCCATATTTTTATAATGTCTAGATTTTTCATTAAATTGAAATTTTGAAGAAAAAACTTGTGCCTAAATTGCCTACAATATTGTTTCTTTAATTTTGTCCCTTCCTGCTCAATCTCGTCTACGCCAATGCTTTACGCGGCTCATATAATTGATATCAAAGTCTAATGTAGTTAGTAAATTTTCAGAAAGGGGAAAAGTAGCATTATCGTTTTGGGTATAATTTATGCTGTTCAATTTTCTCACACCCCAAAAAATCAACCCCACAAATACCATAGAATATATAATGTAGGTGCGTGTGGCAATCAATAATCACTCTATTGAGTAAATCAGTGTGAAAATTGATTAAATTGAGTGGTTTCCCATATTGGTCATACTGGTGCTTTTCACTGTCTTCGAACTGCTGATTCAGCCAAGTCTTATCATAAAACCTATTTGCATGCGAACAATTTCACTGGCTACACTTCATCATGCCAAAGTGTTATCGGTCAGAGAAGCATTGCGCAAAAATTTCTGCACACTTCACAGAAAAGTTCACGTCACGACAAGAGACCTTCGACAATTCCTACCAAAATCCCACAGGAAGAATTCCCCCATTTGAAATCTCAAATGCAAATATTTATCAATCAATTGAGAAGCGTCGGTGTTTTGATTGCAGATTCTCAAGTGTGCACCATCAATTGTTGACCAACACTGTCGCAATTGCAACCCAATTCAGCCATAGATATGAGAGCCAAGACAACGTCAATTGAGCTGAAAAATCACGTAGGTGATAGTGAGAGACATTCATATTGAAAGAATTTAGCACTCGCATTTTCAACACTGTGCGAGAGAGACGAGAGGCGGATAAATTGTCTTCTTTACAGCCATTGGAATTGGACACCCAAGCTCAAGCACGATCTCAGACTGTAATTTAGAGAGACAGGAATTACAATCGTAAATCCTGACTGGGTGAGAATGTTGATGAAAATGTTTTTCATTCGGGGCCTCTTCACATTGGAATTTTCCAAAAGAAAGTCCCAACCAAGTGTCACTGATGATTTCCCAAGCATACAATTATCACAGCACGACATTTCGGAAAGAGGGTCATGTTATCAATTGATTGTTGCCTGTTATTGTGACCAGAGGAATCTTCCACATATGGATCATATATGTATATATTTTGATACAAATGCTCCAATTTTCTCCCTTCAAACTAATTTAATTCAATTTAGACACTCGAGACGAGCCTCTTTCATGACACTTTGCCTCATCAAATCATCGAGAATCGTGAGCTGTGATTTTTATGGGAGAAAATAAATTATGTGCAGTCAGAGATTGAAATTTTGGCACGATTTAGCACTTCCTCGCGAAAATTGACCATGAAAAGCTCTATAGACATTTTTCTGGAGTTGAAGCCTTTCGGCCAATTAACCATGACGTCTTCACTCGGAATCAATGCGTTTCTTGCGTGGCCACTATTTCGGGTTGCGCTGTTTTGACTTCGCCCCTCTATAAATACCTCTTCTACCCACATGACCATATGATTCAGGATCACGTCACCTGCTCCGATATTTTGGCAATTAGTGGCTTTTTTGCCCGCGCTTTTCCTTCCGACCAACACTCCAACGGCGTCACGAGACTCAATCGACGCACTTTTATCAAAAAAGCTGGCTCTCTGAGAAACTGTGGCGGGTGTCTTTGGACGACGAGATGGGCTTTCTATTCTTAGTTGTCATGTGATGGAGCGATATGTGTTGTGCATTTAGAGAAATTCCACATGCGATGACTCACTGAGAACTATGCCAAGACATCGCGCTTTCCCCTCCCTCTGCCCCTCACCACCGCCCGGCCGACTTTTGGGGGTGTGAGATTTTCGAGCTGGTGAAATATTGCTTCGAGAATTGGTGAAATTTCATGGCGGCGAGGAGAGAAAATACAGCAATTTTCAAGAGAGGCCAGAATTCATCCGGAAAACGAGCCATTGAGATTGATATTTGGCGCAATGAAAATTCCACATATTGCAACTTTACACATTAATGCCAAAGAGTCAGACAAACAGCCACACCGTGGATAATCTCATTATAAATACACCCAATGATCGTGCAGAAATTACAAACTCGATTTTTCCGGCTGTAACAGCACACAAAAAGCTCATCGCAAGAAGTAACAATAAATAAACCTACAAAATAGAGTCATCAGTGGAAAATTACAAACTTTCTCACATTACAAATTGGCAAATCCAAAAAAGCTTCATCGAAAAGCTCCACAAATTTTGCCTTCATTTCTTTCTTCTCTTTGATCAAGAACAATATATTGAGAAACACTCAATTTCTTAACTTGTCTTATTTGTTTTATGGTTGAATTGTGTCTGGTTTTTTTGTCTCTATTGTTGACCAAAGCATGGAAAAATGTACTTCATGATGAAGAGAATCAACAGCACTGGAATATTATCACGTAAGAAATAAAAAAAAAATGGTGTCTAAAGTTGTGGAGAAAAACCCATATAAAAATGAGTGAGAGAAGGCATTGAAGACCTGTTTTTCAAGATTAAATCTTCATCTTGAAAACTGGGTGGAACTTTGGACTTCTGTCTTATTAGAATTCAAGTGTCTTTTTCTTGCAAAAATCGCAGAAATGCCATTAAATTGAAGGCTGGCGCAGGCATCGTTATCGCTTGGGTCACACCAGTGGATTTCTAGGCGTCTCATGACGCCATTCGGAGCTTTTTCCTCCGATACGCTCAATGGAAATAAATCACTTTCACACCCTCGCCACTTCATCAATGGGCCGACATGAGGTATGGCGATTTTCAGACACTGCCGGAATTTTCAATGTGATAAAAACTCACACACACCTCAATTGACCTTTTTGCTTGTTGGTCAAAGTTTCGTTTCACCGCAATCACGGGTTTTTTCGCCCTCCCGGCATTGAATCACACAAAGGAAAATCCCTAGTCCAAGTTTCAATCAAAGATTGATGGCTTTTGAAAAAGATTCCAAGTGTGGTCAATTGGAGACAGTAAAATTACTTTGAATGTGGCAATTTGAATTTTTGTGCATTTTTGCAAAAGGAAGGAAACATCCACTTTTCCGGGAATATGAAAATAACCATCTGCACATCTTCCGCTTCTCTCTTTGGCTTCTCTCCCATTAAATGAGAACATTTGTATGCATTTTGTGGGCGATCAGTGTAGAAAATGTCCTTTCTCAATCATTTTCATTTCCTTTTTGGCCATCATTTCACTGGTTGGCGAAGACACGAAAACACCACCATCGTCTGGCTCAATGCATTGATGCACACGCAGAACAATTCATTAGATGGATATATTAGTGGTGTTCTTTTGAACGTTGGCCAACAAATTGCTCAATGTTATGTAGAGCATCATGGTATTTTCAAGAGGGCCTCTCTCAGTGGCAAAGGAGTCCGTCGACGCGCGCGAGGAGAGAGAATGTATCGCAAAGGATGACTTGAAGAGCAACAGAAACTTAATTATCAATTCATTCACGCTTGAAGCTAGATTAATGACTTCTAATGCTTTCATTGAATGCTCTCTCTCGGCCACTCAATTGTTCCGGCGTACGCAACTCGCTATACATATTTTTAGTTAATGGACGAAAAAGTTAATGGTGTTGATATGAGTGTGGACATATATATATCAACAGACTTCTATGAGGCATACAATATATTATATATCTTTCGTTATACTGTACTTGAACTACTGCGGCTACTGAATATGCAAGCAGTGTCGATACTCTCAAGTTCTATAATGAGAAGAGAAGAAAGAGAAAGAACAAATAAAAGAGAAAACTAAAAAATTAAACAGAAGAACAAACAAAATAAACAATGAGAGAGAAAATTATGATTTGTGAATCCAAAAAAAAAGAGAGAAAAGTAATAATAGAAGGAGAAAAAAAACATAATCACAACATAAAGTACAGTCAAGAGATTTGCATATATGTATGCAAGTAAAGATAAAGGAGAGAAAGAGAGGAGAGAGAGAGAGAGATGTCAAATCGCTAGTGATTTTGTATTGAAATTTTCCGAAATAATTATATTGCATAGAATTAAATTAGGGTCAACTTTATATTTAAAATTTTCAGAATAAATTATATTCTCACGAGATGCGATCGAGGGGCCAAAAGCACGGCAAAAAGCCGCCTTCCATTGCTTTCCAACTGACTAATGCTTGACATGCGAAAACTCCCCTCGGCGCCCAATCTAACCTCAACGCACACGATCTGAACGCATATATATATATGCGAAGCTGCAGCAGAAATAGTGTGTATAGATAATTACTGTGGATTGTGGTCCATTATTGCATGTCCCCAATGAATAATTGCTATCGTCACAATGTTACTTATAGCATAATATTCAATTGAGCGCAATGCTTTTCCGTTTCACTGTGGTGGTTTTTCGTCGCTCTGCTGATATTGAAAATATTACAAAATAATACCGCACATATAAATTGACTTCATCAACACACTCAAAAGCACCATCGCTTAATTCAGGACCGCAACTGACAATTCATCGCAAGTTTAATTCAAAGAGACTCTGCGCTCATACAGGAGAGATGGGCCAGAAAAAGCACGTGAAAATGTTTTCTGCAACATAAATATCACAATTAGTGAACCGAAAATAGATACCAATCGACAATTCACCGAAGCATGCCGCAAACAACTGATAGTATGCGCTCTTCTGTGCTGTGCGATGAGAAGATCGTTTGCTTTATCTATATTTTGCAAATATATGATCAGAAGAATTTCAGACATTTTCATTGAGTGAATTCTTGAAATATCCAAACAATTTACTAGTTTTAAAGAAACCAAAAAATGTCACACAAAGTTGATTTTTTCACGCATAGATTTAGAAGATATGGAACATTGTGAGATCTGAGTAGAAGAACAGAACGCCGATCTTTTCATAAACTAAGCAAAGTATATGGCTTATCATCCTTATCACTCTCCTTTCTTTTTTTTACACAGTTGTATTACAGTGTAACCGTGAAGACTTTATCGTTACTCAAATATTTACAAAATCAACTAAATCTCTGTGAATTATCTTTCCCTCTCACGCACACACGAACTTCATCAAGTCACGGAAGAGCTTTTATGAATTTTTCCAACCATGCAAAAATTCACTTCATTCTCTACAATTCAATTTCAAGTTCTGTGTCACAATTTTTTTTCTCCCAAACACACATACATATGTACTTTCCCTCTCCGGAAAATCATCAGGCCGTGAGTGAGACTGACGAGGAGATGATGGACTCTCGTGACGCCAGAATTTCCCAGAGAATTTGTGTAGGAGATGGAATATTTTTGACTAATTGTCGCAATTTTGCTCTCTGTCCTTCTCTGTCTCTAACCCATCAATGCTTTTTGCTTTTTTTATACCCACAGTCGTCCAACAATTGATGGAACATAATGAGGACTTTTCATAAGCACACATAAAATATATCCTCCACTTTTACCACATGCTCTTTTTCTGTCCAGCACACACAATTGCGTTGTTTATTGAGGGATTTTCAGGAGGTTTCCGGGTCAAATTTCCTACCACGATGAGCGCACGCACTTCAATTGCTCATGTTTTTTTTCTGTTTCGTGATATGATTTGGGGCTGTCTGATAAATTTACAATCGCACGTCATAAATATCTCATGGAATTGTCAATCGAAGTCACGATCCCGCCTTTGTACAGATCACTCAAAGGCGTTTGTGTCTTGTCGAATAGTAAAAAAAAGGAAGAAATATTATGAGAAATGCTTGACAAGTGATAAAGAGATTCAAGTTGATTTTTATCGAATTCATTGCATTTCACGATTTTAATGCTTGACTTACGCGAGATTATTGGCCATATTTATATTTATATCTCACTTCGCATTTTGCGACATAACGTTCGCCGGCATGACAGATGATAATTAAGGTTGTGCGGCTTGAGATTGTCATTTAGAAAAATAGAACATTATCAGAAGAGAAAAAGTTCAGGAAAAGAGCAATTTCATAAACCTGAGAGTGTCACAAATGATGTATTTTACTATTAATTTTGTGTAAAGGTCTTTTGATAGAGCTCAAATTCCCTCACCGGATGACATCCTCAAGTATGTACTTTGCATCTAGTTATTAAACATTTTCTCTCTCCCTCTCTCGTGATTGTCATAAATCATCTTGTGGTGGAAATTCTAACAAGATGGAAAGCCCTCTCAGCTGTTCACGCCTAAATCAAGTGAGCCTTCGCACAGTGAAGCAGAAAAAAAACACTTCTTCATTCCTCTATTTATTATAGAGTGATTCAAGGACCCATAATGTCTAATTACAAAAGGAATTTACTCTTGGCAATTTATCCCCACACGTGAGAAGATGCCAGGCCAAAATTCACATTGCAGAAACTTATGAGATTAGTGAGAAAAACAGATTTTGGAGAGCTTTCAAATGCAACATAATATCTCACATTTATTCCACTGACTGTAATACGATAAAAGCGCACCCAAATGGATATATTCCAAGGAAAAGTTCACATCCATAATAGCCACTTAGTATGCATTAATCACATGCAGAGCACAATAAT